TAAGACATTTTTTTGAAATTTGAGTGTTTTTTGAGGGTTTTACAAAAAAAAGGTCCCTTAAAATTGAGCTAAAAGTAGCAGAATTTTTCAAATTTTTACCAAACTTCAAAAGTAAACAAATCGTGCCAAGGTGAAATTTACACGTCAATGGTGAGTCTAATATTCTTTCACAAGTGACCAATAATATTTATACCATTTTTTACACTAATGCAGTAGTCTGCATAACAGTAAATCTTATATTTTTTGTTGAGAATAAAAATTCAAAGTGGAAAGCAAAAGAATATAAGAGGGGCCTTGAGACGTGACTAATGACTAGAGGAAATGTCATTTTAGTGCTAGGAATGTCTTGTTTATTCTGGACCCTATTCCGAAATTGGCATCTTTTGAAATTTGTGTGAAATTGGCAAAATTGCTAAATTCTGACCACTGTACTGGATAGTTGAATTTATAAGTGGGTGGTTTCTTGCACCCATTCGATAGAAAAAATGGAGTTCTAGCGAAATATTCATGTTTTTTGTCGACTAGTACAGCGAAATTGGCCGAAAATGGGGCTCAAAGTGGGCAAAATCGCCGATCCGTAAACATCGCCGAGACCTCTAACTTTGCGAGAGCATAATTCCGTAAGTTTTCTATAAAATTTCAAACTTTTGGTGTCGTTATGATCGGGAAAAGATTCTCTATCTTTTCATAAGAGAAAATAATTTTTTTTTTTTTTTAAATTTGGCCGACCCTGAGAACGAGTTTCGGAGAGGGCCTGTCGACCCTCAAAGGGTTAAATTATGGGGAATTAAATACAAAATGGGAAGTAACAGTTACTTTTTGCTGTTGATACTGTGCTTATGGGAGATTCTAAAGAAAAATTGCAAAGGTTAGTGGATGAATTTGGGAGTGTGTGTAAAGGTAGAAAGTTGAAAGTGAACATAGAAAAGAGTAAGGTGATGAGAGTATCAAATGATTTAGATAAAGAAAAAATTGGATATCAAATTGGGGAGGAGGAGTATGGAAGAAGTGAATGTTTTCAGATATTTGGAGTTGATGTGTCAACGGATGGATTTATGAAGGATGAGGTTAATCATAGAATTGATGAAGGAAAAAAGGTGAGTGGTGCATTGAGGTATATGTGGAGGCAAAAAATGTTATCTGTGGAGGCAAAGAAGGGAATGTATGAAAGTATAGTAGTGCCAACACTCTTATATGGATGTGACGCTTGGGTTGTAAATGCAGCAGCGAGGAGGTGGATGGAGGCAGTGGAGATGTCCTGTCTGAGGGCAATGTGTGGTGTAAATATGCAGAAAATTCGGAGTGTGGAAATTAGAAGGTGTGGACCTTTTTTTTTTTTTATATTTTATTTAAAACATCATACTGATGTAGATACTGATGTAATGAAACAAATATTTACATGTGTAAATTAGGAGGAGGTGTGGAGTTAATAAAAGTATTAGTCAGAGGGCTGAAGAGGGTTTGTTGAGGTGGTTTGGTCATTTAGAGAGAATGGATCAAAGTAGAATGACATGGAGTGCATATAAATCTGTAGGGGAAGGAAGGCGGGGTAGGGGTCTTCCTCGAAAAGGTTGGAGGGAGGGGGTAAAGGAGGTGTTGTGGGCGAGGGGTTTGGACTTCCAGCAAACTTGCGTGAGCGTTTTAGATAGGAGTGAATGGAGACAAATGGTATTTGGGTCCTGACAATCTGTTGGAGTGAGAGCAGGGTAATATTTAGTGAAGGGATTAATGGAAACGGGTTATTTTATATAACCGGACTTGAGTCCTGAAATTGAGAAGTACAATGCTTGCACTCTAAAGGAGGGGTTTGAGATATTGGCAGTTTGGAGGGATATATTGTGTATTTTTATACGTATATACATTGGACACCTGCCTTACGATGGCATCACGTTACGTTAAATCCGCCATACGTTACATTTTAACGCAAAAATTTTGCCTCGCCTCACGCGGTTTGTCCGGGACGCGTCCCACATGTTGCCTCAGCTGCCTCGTGTGTGCCAGTGTTTACAAGCCAGCCAGTGCAGTCGCATCCATGCATACATTCGGTACATTTCATATTATCACAGTATTTTTAGTGATTGTACCTGCAAAATAAGTCACCATGGGCCCCAAGAAAGCTTCTAGTGCCAACCCTGCAAGAAAAAGGGTGAACATTACCATGGAAATGAAGAAAGAGATAATTGCCAAGTACGAAAGTGGAGTGAGTGTCTCGGAGCTGGCCAGGTTGTATACCAAACCCCAATCAACCATCACTACTATCGTGGCCAACAAAACGGCAATCAAGGAGCTGTTCTTGCAAAAGGTGCAAGTTTGTTTTCGAAACAGAGATCACAAGTGATAGAAGATGTTGAGAGACTGTTATTGGTGTGGATAAATGAAAAAACAGATAGCAGGTGAAAAGGCTAGGAAGTTGCATGATGATTTAATTAGAAAAATGCCTGCAACTAGTGGTGATGTGAGTGAATTTAAGGCCAGCAAAGGTTGGTTTGAGAGATATAAGAATGTAGTGGCATACATAGTGTGATAAGGCATGGTGAGGCTGCCAGTTCGGACCAAAAAGCGGCTGAAAATACGCGAAGGATTCAATGATTACATAGACAGTGAAGAATTGAACCTGAACAAGTGTTTAATTGCGACGAAACAGGCCTGTTTTGGAAGAAAATTCCAAGTAGGACCTACATTACTCAGGAGGAAAAGGTACTCCCAGGACATAAGGGTATGAAAGACAGGCTTACTCTTCTGATGTGTGCTAATGCTAGTGGTGATTGCAAAGTGAAGCCTTTATTGGTGTATCACTCTGAAGCTCCCAGAGCGTTCAGGCAAAACAATGTCGTCAAGGCTAATTTGTGAGTGATGTGGAGGGCAAACAGTAAGGCATGGGTAACTAGGGACCTTTTCTATGACTGGTTACACCATGCATTTGCCCCCACTGTGAAAAATTACCTCCTGGAAAATAAATTGGACCTTAAGTGCCTCCTGGTATTAGACAATGCTCCTGGTCATCCTTCAGACTTGGCAGAGCAACTTTCTAGGAACATGAGCTTCATTTAGGTCAAGTTTTTGTCTCTTAATACCACTCCTCTCCTGCAGCCCATGGACTAGCAGGTCATTTCAAACTTCAAAAAAATCTACACAAAAGCTGTTTCAAAAGTGCTTTGAAGTGACCTCTGGCACTCGATGGACTCTTAAGAGAGTTTTGGAAAGACCCCTTTAGCATCCTCAATTGTGTAAACCTTATAGGTAAGGCTTGGGAGGGAATGACTAAGAGAACCTTGAACTCTGCCTGGAAGAAACTGGCCACAGTGTGTAGAAGAAAGGGATATTGAAAGGTTTGGGGCTAACCCTGAGAATCCTATGCCAGTTGTGGAATCCATTGTGGCATTGGGGAAGTCCTTGGGGTTGAGGTTAGTGGGGAGGATGTGGAAGAGTTGGTGGAGGAGGACAATGAAGAACTAACCACTGAAAAGCTGCAAGATCATATTCAAAAGCAAGAGGCCACACCTGAGGAAACTGCTTCAGAGGAGGGGAGAGAGAAATTGAGGAACTGCCTACTTCAAAGATTAAGGAAATGTGTGCAAAGTGGGTTGAACTGCAAATCTTTGCGGATGAAAATCACCCTGACACAGCTACTGCATGCTGTGCTAGTGACTATTACAGTGACAGTGTTATGGCCCATTTTAGTTAAGTCTTAAAGGAATGGGAGGTACAGGCCTCTATGGACAGATATGTTGTGCAACAGAGGTCCAAGTGACTTTCAAGCTGGTCCTAGTGGCATCAAAAGAAGGAAGGAAGCAACCCCGGAAAAGGACTTGATACCTCAAGTCCTAATGGAAGGGGATTCCCCTTCTAAACAATAACAACTTCCACACTCCCTTCCCCCCATCCCATCAATCATCACGAGATCTTCAATAAAGGTAAGTGTCGTGTATTGTATTCTTAGTGCATGTCTTCTTAAGTTTGTGTGTAGTAAAATTAATATTTCATGTGGTAAAAAATTTTTTTTTCATACTTTGTGGTGTCTTGCACGGATTAATTTGATTTCCATTATTTCTTATGCGGCAAATTAGTTTGCCATACGATAATTTCGTCTTATGATGAGCTCTCATGAACGGATTAATATTGTAAGGCGGGGGTCCACTGTACTTCTAAACTGTTGTATTCTGGGCACCTCTGCAAAAACAGTGATTATGTGTGAGTGAGGTGAAAGTGTTGAATGATGATGAAAGTATTTTCTTTTTGGGGATTTTCTTTCTTTTTGGGTCACCCTGCCTCGGTGGTAGACGGCCGACTTGTTGAAAAAAAAAAAAAAGTGATGAAAAATTATCGGTATTAAAATGAAAGTCCGGTTATCTGGACTCAAGTCCTGGAGGTGGGAAGTACAGTGCCTGCATTCTAAAGGAGGGGTTTGAGGTATGTGCTGTTTAGAGGGGCACTTAAATATTGATAATATAAGTGATAGTGAAAGTGTTTTTTTTTTTTTTTTTTTTTTTTTTTTTTTTTTTTTTTGGGGGGGGGGGGGTTCACCCTGCTTGGGTGGGAGACTGTCAGTGTGTTAAAAAAATTTAATTTTAATTGTAGCTCTATGGGAAAATACTCTCGAGTATAATAATTGCCCTTACAGGTGGTGTGAGCTACCTGCACTCTCTCTCTGGCTTCACTCGTCGCCTGGTGTTGCAGCTGTTGTTGGAAACAGAGAGAGTGGTGGTGCACATCAACAGTCCTCTTGGCAGCCTCTCCTCTCCCACTGGCTGCAGCCTCCCACCACTCACTCAACACCCTAAGTTTGGAGCTGGACACAAGACTCGACTCCTCAGTCTTCCCACAACCACGTCCATGTCAGATATTATCAAGATGGTCACAGGTAAAGTCTGCAAGGCTTATTTTTTTTTTTTTGTTAATGTCTGTGTCATACCAAGGCAAGACAACACTGTTACTAATTTCTACTCTTCAAACTAATCCAGTACAAGCAAGATGTGTACATCTCACTCTACTGCTACTGCTACTTCCTCTGGATGGACAGATGAGAAGGTACCAGCCAAAGGAGGGACTAACTTGTGCTCCTCATGTACATGAATGGTATACAATACCAACAAGGTGAAGAATTAGACACTTTCAATATCTGGTTATCTTTATTTGTAGACGTTTTGCCATCCAGTAGCTGTATCGATACAAATTCAAGGACATAATTGGACACATGTTGCACATGCGTGTAATTCTTCATTGTGTTCCTCTAACCAGAATTAGTTAACAACACTTGATATGGTTGAAATTCTCTAGAGATGTGTTGATTCAAAAACCCTGGGCTTCATCTAAAGCTGTGTATGTTTACACAAAGATGGTTTCACTATACGTATTTTACTATTAATGAAAAACATGACATTATTAGCAAGATTCGCAAGACTGACATTGCACATGTTGGTGGATGCGATTTTCTTTCTTCACTTCAGGAAATTCTCTGAACGTACTCTGAAACAAATGTACATGTACTTATTTATATGTAAATACATTTATGAGGGGGGAAACCGGTTAGCAAGACTTGAGTCCTGGAGTTGTAACAAGCAGTACCTGCACTCTGAAGGAAGGGGTATGGGTGTTGTAGTTGGAAGGTTATCTGAATTGTAATCTCGGCACACTTCTGGTAAGACAGGGATTGAGTGAATGATGGTGAATATTTTCTTTTTTTGGGTCAGTCTCCCATGGGTCACTCAGTTTTGGGTCAGTCTGCCGTGGTGGAATATGTTAGGATGAATGCAAGATAAAATATTAGATTGGGAGGACAACTTTTTTTAATAGCACACAGCAACATAATTCCAACATCCACTCCAGTATTTTAATTTTTATATATTTTTTTGTCCCTCAAAAACTAGGGTTGGTTGACTTATGCATGACATACATAAGTTCATTTTTTTTTCATGTAGAGGAAAAAAAGTCAGGGATCAACTTGTACAGGAAGTAGGAGATATACTGTACTTGGGTATATACTGCAGAGAAATTACACAGTGGTGTGACAAACAGATAAGTTCCTTGGTGGGAGACAGCCCAGCATGTTAAAAAAAAAAATGCCATATAATGGAAATTTTAAAAAGAAAAAAAACTTTAATGCAGTATGTAAACATAACATAAGAGTTGTGTAAGCTGGAAATCAAGCAAATATTGTCATATAGGTATGCATATGGTTTCCATACTACATTGATGTCTCTTTTACTCCTTGATATTTCACCCACAGAAACCAACCGAGTTAAAAATATAGATTGACAAACCATTGATAACATCAAACAGTAATTAGGGAACTGTGAATAATTCTAGTACAGTGTAGGCAGCAGATTATCTCAGTAAATGAAGTATATAGCATGAGAGAAACTCGTTATACTCGACGACACTGGCAAACTTTAGAGTACGGTACTGTATATAGATAGTGAATTACTAAAACACATGTTCATACATAAGTTAGGCCTAAATTGGTATTTGCAACTTTAGTGGGGGTGGTGACAAAAACATTGAGATGAACTGGTAACAATCCAAAAAACAGTACAAACTACTTTCGAATTAAAACCCATGAATCACGAAGGACTGAAGACAGAAAATGCTCTCATTGGTAGGCAAGAGGAAAAATATGGTATCCTTTTATGATCTTACTGTGGTAAAAGAAAAAAAGAGAGATGAAAGCACTTTTAGCACCGTCAACAGTGAAAAGAAGAGGCCACACTTGTAAAGAAGGAAAAAAAAGTTGTTCAGAATGGGACAGTGAAAATATTTTCTTCACGAATAATGGTAGACTGCTGGAATGAGATCCAAGAGGAGGTAGTAATGTATGTGGTGGACCCATGGAACTCCAAAAAAAAAAAAAAAAAAAAAAAAAAAAAAAAATACATGAAAAGCCAAACTGTGACGGGAGAACACGAGCATAGCTCTGCTCCATTAACTACAAATGCAGTCACAAATAGGTAATGACACGTACAAATAATGTAGGGGGCAAGTTAATGGGAATTCATTCCTCATTGATCGTGTGTGTCAACACGGCTCAAATTAATGAATAACGTGAATATATTACTTAAGTGGTAATTCTCTAATAAATTTTTGCCATAGACTGGTCTAGAGGAATGTTGAACGGCAACACAGGAGAATTAGACTTGACAGTAATGACCACCGAGAACCAAATGAAGTCGGTCACTTGGAGCTGATGGACAAGCTGTCAGTGGCTGCTGGAGTGACTGCAAAGGACAAGAGGAGTAAGAATAAGGCCAACTCAACTATCCACAGAGTGTCCATGACTATGCCCAAGAGAGGTGTGTAAATGTTGCACTTCAGTTTGATGATGAAGAGGTTTATATCTCTTACCACATAGTAGCATTAAGCATCTTCATTATTTTATTTGTATTTTGTTCTGTATCTTATGGCTCTTTGCTTCCATGTGGTTGTATGATTGCCATGGTCATTACCTTCCTCTTCCTTTACTTTGTATATGTTTTACTGTATATCTTTGTTTTTATGTTTGTTTTTTCTTCATTTCACAATGTTATTATACACTTTCCTGCAGCTGACAGTACACCATAATTCAATTGTTTTTATGTTTGTTTTCCTTCGTATCAAAATACATTATTTATACACTTCAACTGACACAGTACACTATGATTCATGTGTACTGTAATTCGAAAAGGTGGCCTTATATTGGCTGGCCTCAGTCACCTGTGGAAGCATTAAATGGGCAAAAATGCATACACATGGTACTATACCTCCATGTATTAGTTTTATTCTGTAACTATTTCTTGTGTTGTAACAGTGTTTTGCTGATTAAATTCTAGGTTCTTTAAACAAGACCATTCTTCACAAATAAAAGACGGAGATAGGTTGGTTGTCTGAGACACAGTGCTAGGGAGCCATGGGACACAAATGTCAGTTGAAGACATATACGATACGAGGATGTTAGGAAGAACTTTTTCGTGTTCTGCGTGATGAACTAAAAGAATCAATACAGATGGTAGCTGCAACATATGGATGCCAGGAATTGGTAAAGCTTATTATGAATTAAGAATCAGGGCCAGAAACCATGAGCTGAACCCCAAAGTGAGTAATAACTAGGAAAGTGTAGCACACGTCTAATATTTACTAATGATTTGTATAAAATGGAGTAGACCCTCAAATTATGCAACTTTGGTTTGTGTGATGTTACAATAATTTGAAAAAAGTGCTATCAGAGAATTTTCCTAACAGGAAATATTGGTATGTACTTGGTATTTCATGCCATTTGAAATCTGGAATGAAATGTCTGTTTCAAAGTAAAATGCAGACTACAGGATAAAATAACCTCATGGGGCAGTGCCACCAACAGGGTGCTGCAAGATCAGTGACTTCCAGTAATGTTTATAATTTATGAATGATGTGGAGATCCTTTGCAAAATAAGTAATAAAATGAGTGTAAATCTCTGCAAGATGATTTGGACAGACTAAGTTAGTGATGGATGGATGGTGCTTAATGCAATAGAAAGAGGGTGAAAGCCAGTATCCAGCAGCATGAATATAGTCATGACTGACTAAGGATTATCAGTAATATTGATGAAAGAGTGAAAAACTTGCAGTCAAACACTGAGAGAACTTTACATAATTTATAAATACATGCACAGTTAACTGCACTAGGAGAGGGGAAAACTGTGATTGATGTTTTGGTCTGACTTGGGCCTATAACAAGGCTCACACTGAAGTGAGAAGGAAAGAAACACGATTCTATACAGAGGGCCATGGAATGCAAAAAATTAGTATTATTCACATGTTAAGCAACAATTGTCGTGTGCAGCGGTCATTTGTTCATACCTTAAAAACATATGGACACTAAAAAAAAAATCCAAACATGGCTGTGAAATGCATCTTGGAACTAAACAAAAAATTTGATTTGTGCAGAAAGGCTGAACTGAAACTTGAGAAATGCTCTTAGTGCCTAGGAGGAGGAATAAAGACGATAGGCATGATTAAACCAACATAGATTCATTAGGAAGTTCATAAAAGGATAGGAAAAATTAGATAAGGAAAATGTATTATCTCCCATCGAGGGAGAATAAGATGCTATAGTGGGTAATTGAAGAGAAGATTTTATTATATATATATATATATATATAGATATCTATATATTATATATATATATATATATATTATTTATATATTATAAACTATAATATATAATATATATATATATATAAATATATATATAAATATTATATATTATAATATATATATATTATATAATATAAAATGATATATATTTATATTTTTTTTTTTTTTATTTCACACCGGCCGATTCCCACCAAGGCAGGGTGGCCAAAAAAGAAAAACTTTCACATCATTCACTCCATCACTGTCTTGCCTGAAGGGTGCTTTACACTTACAGGGTTTAAACTGCAACCATAACACCCCTCCTTCAGAGTGCAGGCACTGTATTCCATCTCCAGGACTCAAGTCCGGCCTGCCGGTTTCCCTGAATCCCTTCATAAATGTGACTTTTGCTCACATCTCCAACAGCACGGTCAAGTTATTAAAAAACCATTTGTTCTCATTCACTTCCTATCAAAACACCGCTCACGCTGCCTGCTGGAAGTCCAAGCCCTCGCAACAACACAGGTATAGGTTGGTAGACAGGCAAACCACCCAGGGAAGTAGTCCGTCCTGCCAGATGACTGTGAAACAAAAACCTGTACTGTTTGGCAGATGGTAGGATTTGTGGGTTTCTTTTTCTGTCTCATTAAACACGCTAAGATAACAGGGATATTCTTGCTACGCCTACTTACATTTGGGTAACACTTACAGGACACGCACATGCATAATATATATTTTCCTACATCTAGGGTTTTTTTCTCCTTTTTCTAAATAGCTCTTGTTCTTTTTTTATTTCTTCTATTGTCCATGGGGATGTGGGAAAAGAATCTTTCCTCCGTAAGCCATGGTGTGTATGAGGCGACTAAAATTGCGGGAGAAATGGGCTAGTAACCTTCTCCTGTATACAATTACTCTAAAAATGGGAAGAGAAAAACTTATATAGATATATATATATATATTATATATAGATTATATATATTACATATATATACATATATACATATATAACATATATATATACATATAGACATATTATTTACATATTAACCAATATATATATATATTATATATATAGATATATATATATATATATATATATATAATATATTTATGTTAATATATATATATAGAAATGTTTTAAAACGCAGGTGGGGATATAGTTTTGGAGTGGTTGGTTGCAATTATTTAATAAATGTATGGAGAGAGGGTAAGGTACACTCGGGATTGGCAGAGAGCATGCATAGGTCCTGTTGTATTAAGGCAAAGGGGATAAAAGAGCGTGCAAAAAAAAAAATTATGGGGTGTTAAAGCGTGCAGTTTAAAAAACTGTAGTTGATAAAAAGCACCCTTCAGGGCAAGACGTGATGGGAGTGATGATGGTGAAAGTTTTTCTTTTTCGGGGCAACCTGCCTTGGTGGGAATCGGCCAGTGTGATAAAAAAAAAAAAAAAATAAGTCTGTTGAGAGTAACCTGGTAAAGGTATGGTAGAGTTATAATGAAAGAATTAAGAGTAAGCGGAGATTAGGATAGCAGATGAACAGGGGGCTTTAGGAAAGGTAGGTAGGGGGTGTGTGGGACAGGTGTTTACAGTGAAACATATAAAGTGAACATATTTAGTTAGCTAAAGAGGTTTTTGTGGCTTTTATGGATTTGGAAAAGGCGTATACAGGGGGAAGGGGGGCAAGTGGCGATGTTGCAGTGTATGGTGTGGGAGGTGGGTTTTACTGAAAGCGTGAAGAGTTTTTCGAGGAAAGTGGGGCCAAGTTAGAGTATGTAAAAGAGGAAAATTTTTTTCCCCCAGAAAAGTGGGGCCTTAGAAAGGATGTGTGATGCACCGTGGTTGTTTAAAATTTATAGATGGGGTTGAAGAAAAGTAAATGCGAGGGTCTTGGGCAAGAGGCTGGATTTAAAAAATTAAAGAATCACACCAAAGGGGAGTTGTCCAGCTGCTCTTTGTGAACACTGTCTCTTGGGAGTTTTCTGAAAAAAAGCTGCAGGTTTGGTGGATGAATTTGGTAGGGTGTGCAAAAGAAAAAATTAAGGTGAATCGGGAAAGATAGGTTATGAGGATAACAAAAAAAAGGTGATAAAAATTAAATATGATTAGGGGGAGAGAGTATGGGGGAGGTGAACTTTCAGTTTTTTGGGAGTGGACGTGTCACGGAGGGGGTCTAGAAAGATGGGGTGAATCATAATTGATGAGGAAAAAGAATGAGTGGTGCACTTAGGATCTGGGGGAGACAAAGAACTTTGTCCTTGGAGGCAAAGGGGGGAATTTTATGAGAGATATTTTACCAACCTTTATAGGGTTGAAGCATGGGTGAATGTTCAGCGAGGAGAAGGCGGGAGGCAGGGGAGTGCATGTCTGGGGGCAATGTGTGGTGTGAAATAATGCAAGAATTCGTAGTTTGGAATTGGGAGGAGGTCGTATTACCAAAACTGTTTTTCCAGGGGCTGAGGAAGGGTTTTTTGGGTGGTTCGGACATGTAAGAATGGAGCGAAACAGAAACCAAGAGTGTTCATCTGTATGGAAGGAAGGCGGGGTAGGGGGTCGGCTGGAAGGGTTTTGGGGGGGAGGGGTTAAAAGGGGGTTTTTTTGTGCGAGGGGCTTGGACTTCCAGCAGGCTGCGGGGCGGTTTGTAGGGTAAATGGAGACAAATGTTTTTAAAACGACGTGCGTTTTGGGTAGCAAAAGTAACATTTTGAGGGGGCAGGAAACCCGGGAGGCCGGCTTTAGTCCGGGGGAGGGGAAACATGCCGCACTCTGAAGGAGGGGTGTTAATGTTGCAGTTTAAAAACTGTGTGTAAAGCACCCTTCGGCAAGACAGTGATTTAGTGAAGATGGTGAAAGTTTTCTTTTCGGGCCACCCGCCTTGGGGGGAATCGCAGTGTGATAAAAAAATAAAAAAAATATATTAAAATATATAAATATTATATATATATATTAATAAATATATAAAAATATATATAAAAAATTAAAATATAAATTAATATATAATAATATAATAATAATATAAAATATATAATAAAATAATATATATAAAAAAAATAATATAATATATATAATATAATTAATAAAATATATATTATATAAATATAATTAAATTTATATATATATATAAATTTTATATAATCTTTCTTTTCTTTCAACACCCAGCCCTGTCCCCGAGGGTTGGGTGGCCCAAAAAAAAAAACAAAA